TTAACCCTAACTACTTCAATGTAATTAAATCACATTGCAACCGTTGCGCATGGACTATAACAATAATTTCAGATAATTTCGCTCAGTGTAGTAAATAAGCATGTTTTCTCAGCGTGCTAAGTTGTGTATCAGTCAAAGTCATACTGTGAAAAAGGTACATCCGATATCAAAGGCACCGACAGCTAGTGTCGCTTCTCCTTGATCGGTATTCTCGGCTTATATTTTGAAACAATAAACAAAAAAAAACCTAATGATATTTTAGATTATAAACTAAAGTGTAGTCAATAACAGACATCGTTCTGTGAATCCCCAGTAAAGTGGAAGTAAAGAAAAGGTAACGCGTTGCCAGTTTAATACTTTTCTAAATAAAACGATTTGAAAATGTTGCATGCTAGAATTGATTTGAACTGTTGGCAGAATAGTTAGGAAAGGAAGGGTAATTATCGCGCGATAATATCGAAAAGTCTGCCGTCAAACTTTCATTTTCACAACGAATGATTAATTAAGAGATTCATTTGACTGGGCTATTAAGAATTACTGCGGACAATCTTAGTGTGCTTCGACGGAATTCGCGAGGTTGAAGATGAAGAGGGAAATATAAAGAATGAAGAAGCGGTTCGACAACATTCTCTTTTCCATAGAACGAAATTATTTTATTTCAAAAATGAAATTTTTTCAAATTTCAATTTTATCCATGAACTTGACAGATACCTTGAAGGAGCAACATGATTTCTATACCACCTAAGGAATATTATAACTAAATGTCATAAGACAGTTTTGGATCTCAGATTCTGATATTTTTTTGGTTATATTTAGCAAAGACAACCCAGCGAGACGTGTAACTCAATGTATTTTTTTTGTTCGGTAAAAGTTGTTTGGGCGATTGTGACCACAACCAGTCTATGATGGCGCCACTATTAAATAGCAGAAAAATTAAAAATTCAAACATGGATTCAAAAATAAATAGTTTTTCTATACAAATTTACAGGAGAAACAAAAACTATTGTTTCACTGTATATTAAAAAATATAAAACCTTCCAATAACATCAAATTTTTTATCATATAAATAATCATTTTAATAAAAGAAGTTTTAATCAGTTTAATATAAGCAGTAAACATAGTTTTTATTACTCTTGTAAATTTCGCTAAAAAAACTTGAAAATTCTATTAATAATAATAATAATAATAATAATAATAATACTCTCCCTAATTCACCCCCTTACGAGTGAATTTCAACCCCTGAAGTCGACTGAACGACTTGTGTAGAGGAAGGGACGGCTATTATTATTATTATTATTTGTCGTGGCGCTCCGGGGCGACTTAAAGATGATTGATGGTGCCATTTGACTTACAGGTGAGGAAAACCCGGAAAACCTCACCCACCATCATCGAGACGGTAATGCATGGCGATTTTTTTAATTTGCATGTCATATCAACAGAAATTGAATTTCTATTAATACGGCACACATCAAATCCTAAATCGAACCATGCAATTTAATGGGCCCGTTCACTTTCATTTTTGAATGTGAATTAATTATATATTTATAAAGATATTAAACTCTTTTGTCTGGTGGTACTTTTCCCGTTAAGATATTTTTGCTAGAAGTAAGGGAATTCCCATAAAATTCTTTCAGTGACTCATTGCGTCAGAAAATCCCTAATTCCGTTCACGTCTCGTATCGGTTATGCTTAAAGACGGCGGGGTTGTCGGAAGTATCCCTAATATACCATTTCTGCATTTATATACGTAATTTAAATAGTAAAATTCCATTATTTTTTTAAAAATCGTGATGTTATATTTTCAGATTTAAAGCTGGGAGCTTATTTTTTACTTTTTAATTAAAACAATTATTATTACTCAGGCTGAAAATTAACCAGACCATAATCAAAAAGTAAAAATTTGATTTGCAATATTTATCTGGTAAACGTGGCAACGTTGCATTTATTTCTAGAAGTGTGTGTAGACAACACTATTTAGAAGTACTTACAACGTTGTCACGTTTACCAGATACATTTTTCAAATAAAATTTCGATCTGGTAATATTCAGCTTGAGTAATACTAATTGTTTTTATTAAAATTTAAAAAAGGTAAGGTTTCCAGCTTTATCTGAAAATATAAACACATTATTTTAAAAAAATAATATATTTTTATTATGTAAATTTCTTTAATAAATGCAGAAGAGGAATGGTGGTGCAATGATACATCCGACAACCGCGCCCTTTTAACTATTAACCGATACGAGACCTGAAGGGAATTAGGGGTTTTCTGACGCAATGAGACACTGAAAGAATTTTATGGGAATTCCCTTACTTCTAGCAAAAATATCTTAACGGGAAAAGTACCACCAGACAAAAGAGTTTAATATCTTTATAAATATATAATTAATTCACATTCAAAAATGAAAGTGAACAGGCCCATTAAAAATCCACATGGTCTGGTCTGGGATTCGAAGCCCAGCAGTCTCAAAAGTCCTTTGCCAATACTACATGCGCAGAGATTTTTTATTCAGTGTACATTTTACTTCTTTTCTAGTAGATGGGAACTTTGTGCTGCCATTAAAGCTGTCGAGACATTTATCTACCTACTTAATGAATAAAAGTGCAAAAAATCCGGTATAAGTAGTTGGTATGGTATGTAAGAATATGTTAAAAATAATTTGCATGGAAATTACAAAAGAGGATCTGATGTCTAATAAACAAACATCTATAATATATAAACAGGCAAAGATAAGTTACATTTTCTCTTCTGTTTGTCAACCGATTTTCGTTTTCATTCAAAAAACCGAGATACTCTGTGGTTATGCGGATAGGATCAGCTATTCATCTAAAATTATAATAACTTGAGAAACAATAATTTTTTTAAAAATCTTCAAATGGCAACAGTATTGATATGGGCCACAGCAATAATTTATTAAGGGATATTTATTGGTCATATTTTAGCCAAAATAACCTGCGCTTATTCCGTATCTCAATAGTTACGAGAATTTTTTAAAAAAATGCTTGCCTTCAATCCAAATATTCTGTCGAGATTTCGTTGAATAAATTACAGTTATCCGAACCTCGACCATTTCTAGTAACACATAATTGAAATGTATGAAAGACGGAATGCCGATCACGTAGTTGGTCGTCCAAAATCTCTCTGCTCATCTGCTGGGCGATGGGCGAGCAACGAGCACCCAGGCGCAAAGGAAAGAGAATCTCTTCTCGTACGTATAGAGCGAATACGAAAAATTTCCGATGGAATGCTTTCAGTCGCCCGCCTCGAGACCAAATAATAAACCGTTGACACTTTCTATAACTGCTCGGGTCCAATCAGCAGCGCTTTTTCTACCTCAATTATGCGAGCGATGTCGATATGTCGAACAATTACGGAAAAATTCAAATTTGATGCAACTGAAGACGAGAAATTAGATCAAGGGTTGTAGTACAAATACATTCAAAAGAAGAAGTGTAGAAAATTTGCCATAAATTCCGAACTGTCATTAAATGATTGGTAAAACTAGGGTTATCAGTTGTTAAACACGAAATACTGATGGTGATCCGTGAAAAAACCTTTTATTAAGAAAGTCCTGGAAAAAGCTTTTAAAAAGCATTTTTACCGTAAATAGCACCAAAGTTGTATTTATTTTTGATAAAACTCAATATGCTTTTTTATTTAATTTTACAAGCCCATTATATTGAGTCAGCAATATAACCCTTATGAAATCCACTGACGAAATATTTAGAAAACACTTTGTAAAAATTCCTTTTGTTTTAGCAAAACTGTCATTAAATTAATTAGGATTCTATTATAATATTATCCATTAGGGTTAATTTAAATGAATGGATTTTATTGAGAATAATAAATGTATCAATTAATTGTTAATAATAAAACGAACTAAATTAAATATTTACATTTAATTTTACTGAAAATTAGTTTCTAAATTATTATACAATATATTTTAAATTTTGGTCAACAGATACGGTTTCTATACACAGGGATATCACTACCTTAAATAGACCACACTGTATATATTACAAAGAAAATTTGTTTCACAACCACATTAGATATTTATTTTAAATCAAAATATTTACCAAAATTTCCATTTATTTCTTCTTTAATAGAATGTTAAACATGATTAAGTTGATTGGTAAAAACCGTTAATCGAAGGCATGAAAGTAACTTCCCGGACATACAGTAAATGAGAAAATTTATAGCATCTATAGCATAAAAACCAGACAAATCTTCTCCGAACACACATAATCTAGCTTGTTTTTACTTGTTTTCACCTGCGCTTTGAATTCCTTTCATCCGAGGGCAATTAATCGGCGATATTGAAGTGTTGGAGAGCAATCGACCGTGAAACACTCGTAAATAAGTTCACCCAGAACTTATTTACAATAATATCCATGCAAAACTATCGTAAATTAGAATCGTGGTTTAAGTTCTCTCTGTGCTCAACTAGCCTAGAAACTCAATTTCGCAAGATTGATATCCCCATTTGGTACGTCTCATGCAACCAATCATGCAAGTTTGACCGAGATAATAAAATTTCCAAGGAAAAAGTACGGCTTTTAAAAGATCGTAGATGTCAGAAATTACGTAATGTAGACAGTTAAGAAATTAATAAACTTGTAGACATCATCTTCAAGCTCTCCTTCCTACGTAACATATTCTATTTTGTTATTTACAATGCCCAGTACAATTTATTGAATAAACAACTACAAAGCTGATTCAAAAATCGATTAGTTTTGGCTTATAATGAGCAACTTGAAATAAAATATATTTTATCAAGGTTGAGATAAAATTAAAGAGACTGCCTTCACTAACTAAGAACTTTGTTGAATGAGCACACTAAACGTGAAAAAATCCATTTAATTCTGCTTTATAGTTAAATATAATGACAGGAGTAGAAATGTGTAATATCAGAAAGAAGCTAATCCGCATCAAACAATGGTATGACGATGAGTTTTGTAAAATATTGCTTCGCACAGTTCAAACAAAAACAAAAAACACTTACCAGTAATTTGATTGATTATAAAACTGCTATTTCCTGGTATCAAGCTGTACCTAACAGCAGCATTTTGACCCAAATCGGCATCTACAGCTGTAACTCTCCCAACGGAAGTCCCTCTCCTTAAATTCTCCTCTATCTGAAACTGGTAGGAATCGCTGGAGAATACAGGATCGTTATCGTTAGCGTCCAGCACTTCCAGCAGAACTTTAGTCGTAGCTGTTTCGGAAGGAGTACCATTATCAGTAGCTGCGATTGTCAGCAAGTACTTATCTCTGAGTTCTCGATCTAAGGAGGCACGCAGATATAACCAGCCGCTGTTAGGGAAGATGCCAAAGATGTCTTGTAGATCGGAATCGTCTGAGGAATTAGAGGAAAGTAGTCGGTAGGTTATGCGTGCATTGTTGCCACTGTCTGCGTCGATTGCGGTAAGTTGGAGAATCTGAAACAATAAATGACATGTAAAATATGTAAAATAAAATGAAAAAAAAAAAAATGAACAATAATAAAATATTAATTGGTTTGTATCCATGGCGCTCGTGTCATTTTGATGGACACTTTGATATAAATGACGATAAAAGATTGTCTTCCTTTCCTATATGCTTTATAATTGCTAGAGAACATATTTCCCGATCATAAAGAACTTGTAATAAAAAAGAAAAAGACAAATATTTCATTAAACCAGAATAGAACCAATAGTTCAGTTCTTTTTGTTCCGCGAACGCATTTTAACTACTGCGCCTGCGAAATCGTTACTATTAGTAATAATTCGGTTCAGGATTCTTACTGCGAACAAAGCTAAATATATACGTACAATTTTAGTTTTTGGCACGTGTTTGGAAATTAAAAACGAAATTTTCGTATTTAATAATCGTACCAAATTGAAATAAAACAATTCGTAGTAATGAGTTTTGATATGGATAGACAACTAGTCACTATTATTAAAGCGTGAAGGGAAAACAATGTACTAAAATGTTATTCTAATTAGTAATGCATTCCTATTAGTAAAGTTTTTATTACTGGAACGATTCTCATAACCTTAACCCCACTTTTTTTTTCAAAACGAACCTTTCCTTAAACCTACTTTTCTTTATTTATGGGAAAATAATTCCGGAATGGTTACGACTCTCGTTCCGAACGAATCGCGCAAAAAAATACCTACATAAGTACCGAAGAACCAAAGAATCAAAGAACCAAAGAACTCAGAACCGACCTCGTTTACGGTCCAGCGATCGAAATATTTGAGCGTAACAAAATTAGATAAAGTACCATATATTCGATTTGATACAGTTTTTTTTCTTAGTTAAATCAATTATTCACTATAGGAGCGAAAGGTATTTACAGGAATGTCAGCTATTCGGTCTTTTGTATCAATTGTTTTTTCTTTTCGGAAGTTTTGTTTCGGAATGTAAATTACTGTAATGAAATGAGTACGAGGTATCAACAATTAAAGCTATAAATGTAGCTCAAAATTTATGGCTGTCAAAGAAAGAATTATTGTTATTTCATAGAATCCAATCTAATCAACTTCCGTCATTAAAATGACAAAGTTTTGCCAAATACCGTTGAGGTATTTTAGGTTGTTTAGTTGCTTTCTCAAAAATGGCACTAGTAGTAATGATATTATGAATTCAAATAAAAAACTTTCCTTTTAGCTGGTCTAGCCCTAGTCATTTCATGCATTTGATGTTTATGTTTTATTGCTATTTGTATTAGGGATGAATGACGATTTTAAAATATAACAAAAATAACAATAAAATGAATATTATTATTTTCACGAAAAAAAAAAGTTATCAAATTCACCTGATTAGTACTACGGGCCCAGCCTCATAATTTAATATCAATGTAGGTTGAGATAGGTATACAGAGAACATCCAGATAATAAAGCAAATACCCCCTTATACCTTGAGAATTTGCATAAGCTAAAATACTATAAAACAAACAATGGTCTATTGTTCCTTGACGCCTATTGTTGCTGTGGCTATTTTTTATTTATTGCCATTTTATAAATTCGGGTAATGAAAGGTTTCAAAGAAGAATTTCCTGGCTTTTACGACGTTTTGTGTATAAATAAGGATTTGAAAAATTCTTCTTTTTCGCTTGTTTTTATAACAGTCAAATGTCTTAGTCATATCGGTATTGTTGTTTTTAGTTTTTAAGCAATATTGTATGGAAACTTAACGCATGTTTTCTAGATAATACAGTTAGTGAGTTCATTTTTAATAATCAATAGCTTTCGCAGATTTTTGCGAATTTTTAGTCTTGTTAGGCCTTGCCTCATTTAGCTATGTTCACTGAATCAGATGCAATCTTAAGAGCAACAAAAGGTTTAAGTAATTATTTGTTATATTTTACTGTTTTTTTGGAAAATTTAATCTAGGATATGTATTCCATTCCAGGTATAGTTAGTATTGCTGTATAATTTTCATAGTGTTTCTTATTATACTCTTCTTACAGTAATCTATGTGCATTAAAGGTTTTTTGTCTGCACGATAAGTCAAAAACGAAATATGATATCAATTTGAAATTTTAGATAAAAATGAAGCTTTATAAGGAGGCAACGCGTATTGATTTAAAAAAAATCTAATTAAAAATAGGTATTTAAGGGAGATTTAAATTAAAAAAAAATCATAAATTAAAAACAAAAAGCGATATCAACATGAAATTTTTAGTAAAAGTCAAGTAATAAGATGAAGCCTAATGATTCCATAGAAATAGTATAGAAAGCCGATTCCATATATCAAAAATGAAACCATAAGGAGAAAATAGTGTGTCGGAGCTCATGCGTATAATGGTTTTTTATTGATCGAACAAATAGTTCGCACGATAGTTCAATCATACATTTTTAGAGATGATTCTATACAAAAACGATTAAAAAAATTTCAAGTTAAGGTAAATATGGTTCTGACAGTCCTTATTAAGAAAGATATGGCATAAAATATGAATTAGTTAATTTTCGGCAATCATTAGTACAGTAGTCATGAGATTTTGCTTGTGATTTTAAAAATACTTTCCAGAAAAACCACGTGCTCCGGTTTTGACTACGTTTATTATTAAACAGCGAAATTATATACAAAAACTTTAATCCACAATCTAAATTAGGTACTATCACAAGAAAATCACTGTTTAATAATTAATTACTTAACCAAAAACTAAAATACTTTTTAGGTACCTACGTAACCAGAAAGGAGCTGGACCATTTATCCTAATATTGATTTTCACTCTCCCTACGGTAAAACTTAAAACAATAACAAATTGCCTATCTACTAGGGTCGGTAACTAAACGTATATACATAATGGGCAGATTTTGTTTATACTTAACATTACATTCGCGCATTTAAATATAACTATGCATATAAATATTTGCAAACAAAGATACTTTTCCAAACAGGCAATCATTAGTACTGTAGTCACGAGATTTTGCTTGTGATTTGACATCTTATTTGATAATATCATTTGCTACAACTAAATTTAATCTGGGGAGTGCAAAATAGGGCCCAGGAATATTATGTTCGATATTTTTTTACATTTTGTCAGCCGAGACTATGAGTCGTTAGACAGAAAACCTTTCATGTTACCATTTTCAATATAAATTAAAAAATTAAAAAATACTACTACATTTACTTGGTACATATTTTATTTTAATTTTGAACCCTTTTAAAAGGGTCTTTCGGTTCCATAATAAAAATTAGTTGCTGCTTACTAGAAACATTCTATATAGCCTAAACCAATTTATAGTTTGTTTTCGATCAATTTAATACAAAGATTTAAAGTTTTTAGTTGATGATAACATTCCACACCAGCACATTGCTAACCTATTTTATAAATAATAGGAATAAACTTGTAAATCATTAATTTGGTAGTTATCTCACTCATATGATTTTTTTGTTTATATGAATATTTCGATTTCTAAATATATTTTGGCCTTACAATACGAAGCGTTTTGTATCTACCACTTTTTTAATGAACGATGAATGTTGACAGGCGTGTACCTTTTTCGGAACAAGAGGCGTTTTAACGAAGGAAATGATTTTCGAACTATCTAGTTAGTTTTCGGAAAAATAGAAAACGTTTGAAGAAAGTTGTCAATAACAGTTTGTCGTTCATGTGTTTCATTTTAATCAGCTTTCATACTAAATTGCGTAGAATATTTTTCCGATTCAAAATCGAGATTCTCGATATTTCCACAGTTTATTTATAATAGCTTCTAAACTGGATTCATCTATCATTTTATATACTTTATAATATATGTTCATGCCCTACTTTTCACTTTATTAACATTTTTTTTTTAACATACTTCAAAATGGTAGGATATTCTCAATTCGTTGAAATATTTTTTTATGTATGTTGAGCGATAATTCTTTACCACGTTGCCCGATTTCTAGGATTCTTTTTGTTAGAAAAGGAAACAGTTTTATATACATTAAGTCAAGATCTGAAGATGGGATCCATAAGAAAATCATTAACATCTTTATTTTTAGTAGGTTTTTTTTTTAAATTTCTTTAAACCTTACTGGTTCGAACGCCGTAAGGAATGAAGAAATGTAAATAATTGTTGTGCCAGCCAAAAAACGAAGAGGAAGTACCGATTAAAATATCGAGTGACAGAAGAGTTCCTAAGATTGTTGAGTTCGGGTTTATGTTTTAAAATGCCTTAAAACCGATATCGATAATGTCTCCCCGTCTGTGGGCAGCCTGTATATAAATATACAGATCTCTATTTACATAATTATAATTCTTAGATAGGTTTAGATTTGCAGACATAAATCTTGTAATAAATATAACAGCTGCCTAATACATTGATTACATTTTCATTAGCCAATGTAAAAATGTCTTTTATTGTACCTAGGATTTGACTAAACACTACACAAAACTAAAAATAAAATGCCACTTTCATCGTGTAATTAATGCCGCGTTTGAGAATCCACATCGGATGCATTTTTTACATCTCGAGCGTTTTTTATCCACATCGGACACATCTGTCCCATTACATTTACGTATACTGAATCACGTGATCAAAGATTTACTACTTACTACATCTCAGATGCATCCGATGTGGATTCTCAAACGCGGCATAAATAATAAACTACAAACGGTCCTGTAAGGGCAGCGTCATATATCCTTTAAACACCGGATTTTAGTGCTATTGCCAGGTCAATATTGAATTTGTAGGTGAATCGCTTATTGAACATTAAAAATACGGTATTAATGACATTAATACGGTATTTGTATATATTTTTGGGAATGTAATTACACATAAATATTATTAGTTGATTATTTAAATGTTTATAAGTTATTTTGTGGCGATATTTCGTAGATATAAAGTGTTTAAATCATATAATTTAAAAATTAATTAATTTAAAATTCTTTTCTGTTAGGTATGTTTAATATATTTGGCAACACTACAGGGACAAGTCATGCTTATTGCGCAAGCTTCTAGACACACTATTTTGCGATGTCAGGCGCAGAGACGCGTTTTTATGCACAGTAGGTTTCAATTTCTGCTTAAATGTTATGTTTATATTAGTCTTCTATATTATTTCTATGAATGATTCTGAAAAAAATCTAAATAAATTGGGGAGTTGAGGAGATAAAATATAAAAAAAATTAGGCTTTAACGCACTGTATACATTTCGGTATTAAAATGTTTAAATAAAAAAAAAAAAATATTGGTATTTCAAAAAACCCATCATGTTTTAAGTTATATTTACATAAATAAAATTAATAATATTCGTAATCATTTCTGATGAAATTTGAAGTTATTAAATTAACCACAAGTATTTTTTTCCAAATTTAATAACAAACGGAATCGAGTTTTTTTTTATGACGGAAATCATTAAGCGCATTGACCATAAACGATAATTTTTGAAATTATAGGTAATCAGACTTAGAGGGGGGAGGCGGTAATTGTACGCTTCAAAAATATCTAAGTTTGATCAATTTGGAGGAGAAAACATAAAATATTTATGACTGTAATTGTTTTTGATTACATCACTCTTGATGAACTTGATACATGCTATTTAATGGTCGTATAAAATTATCGTTTTTTACATTTATTTAAAAATATCTTACTACTAGGTTCGTTGCACTGGACGATTTTATGGGTCGTTAGATAATAATTAACCTTTTTTTGGACACTCTCTGTGTAATATCGAGCCATATTAATAGGTGTTATACCACTAAATAACGTATATGAAGCTAGAGATAGAGATAGAGATGATAATTCGACGACCCTGTCGATTTTCGTCCGAAACATAAGGTGGGAATGAACAGATTATACAAAAATCGAAAAAAAAAATATTCAAACAATTTCTATTAAGAATTTAACACATACTATATTATATATATAATTCAACTTAAAATCTCATTAAAAAAAGTTAATTATTTACCTGTGTGTTAATAGCAGTTGATTCGACGATACTAAGAGAATATTCCTTCCTTTCGAACACAGGAGCATTATCGTTGACATCCTGCACTTCCACCAAAACTGTCAAATTGGCAGACAACGGTGGGACTCCCGTATCAGTAGCTGTGATCACCAAACTGTGCCGCTGAGAAGTTTCGTAGTCCAAATGTCTGGTGATGGTCAAATCTCCCAATTTCGGATCGATTTTGAAGAGTCCCCCGTAAGGATTGTTTACTATTTTGTAAGTAATAATGCCGTTTTTGCCCGAATCTCTGTCTTTGGCGTGGGCCGAGTATAGTGGGGAACCGACTTCGACGTTTTCCGGAACCGAAATCCTTACGATTGTCGATTCAAATTCTGGTGCGTTGTCGTTTACGTCTTCTATTTCTATGTTCACCTGAAACAAAAAAAATGCAAAAGACATAAGATAATAATAATAACAACTGCTTTGCAGGCGAGATTGCAATTTATATTTTGCAAATCATTTTCTCATTCTTAGCGATACCATTATCCTTTTGGATAAAGCGCGCTTAGACCAGATTGGCACAGCTTCAGACTGGACATTAAAAAGAAAATCATTTTTTTTAGTTTCGTTAACAGTAGAAAAGCTAGATGAAAAATTCGAACTATCCTAAATAAATAAGGAATCTAATTTCTGCTAAAAGAAAATTAATGAGGAAATGGCACTTCAACAACGCCATCCAGCAGTTAAAAAGAGACTTTAAGTGGTGCTTCTATACCTTTGTATTTTGTTGATTTTGTTGACTTACTTGTGCGTGCCCGTATACAGGAGGCTCTCCGCTAGTAGCTTGAACGTTGAGAAGAACGCTGGCTTTGCTTTCGTGGTCCAAAGATGAAGCGATTGATATTATTCCAGTGATGGTGTCGATAAAAAATAAACCATCCGGATCTCCTGAGTAGATGGAGTAACGAATATTCGCTCTTCCTGCTGAAATAAAAGAAAAATATTGTTACTCAAGATATTCAGAAAAATATAATAATTTCTTATGATTTAGCGAGCGTTAGTTTAAAATGTTTTATGTGTCAAATATAACCTCGAATTATTCTATTAGATAAGAATTTCGACAAAATGTTACGTTGGGATAAATATAACTAATAAGTTTACTATTTTAATATATATTTATGTATATTTAATTCAAAAGTAAGTAAATTCTTACTTTACAATGCATATTTTTCGACAAACATCGTACATGTCTATAAAAAGCTGATATCTGATGGTTGCATTTTAGTTTTTAGACCATGCATAACTTTTTACGAAGAACAACTTTTTTTCATAAAACCAATATTAAAAAAGTTTTTCATATGGTCCCGACTTAAGAAGACACACTGTATAATATACCTAAATCTAAATTATAAGCAAAAATATTATTTATTATTTCATCTAATTATATATAATCTTCTTTTTTAATTCCAGATACTCGACGACGAAGATTTCCTGAAGCCTCAGACATTGAAATTAGAAAATCGGTGGCCTTCTTTTTGGCAACAACAAAAGATCGAATTTGAAGTAACTTATTTACATTATATAATTGTATTTAATAGGTTGTTTATAGTAATTGTACACTTATTCTTTTTTAAATTCTATTTTTTATATATTATTATTAGTTTTAGTTTTTTAATAAATATATTACAAATTCAAATATGGTTTTGTACTTTTTGAATCAGTTCTGTACTTGATTTAAAAACCATATTGGTACCTAGTTAGAAAACCATATTCAAACCTGATTTAAAAACCTAATTGAAAAACCATATTGAAATTTGACTTAAAAACCAAATAAAAACTATATCGGTACCTGGTTAGACAACCATATTAAAACCTGATTTAAAAACCATATTGGTATCTGGTTGGAAAACTATATTAAATCCTGTTTTAAAAACCATATTAAAACCTAATTTAAAAACAATATAAAAATTTTATTTAAAACCCTTATTGGTACTTGGTTGGAAAATCATATCCAAACAGGATTTAAAAAACATGTTGGTACCTGGTTAGAAAAATTATATTAAAACTTGATTTAAAAACCATATTAAAACTTGATTAAAAAATCATAATTATACCTGGTTGGAAAACCATATTTAAACCTGATTTAAGAACCATTTTGGTACCAAGTTAGAAAACCATATTGGAACCTGATTTGATACTATATTGGAACGTTAAATTATAAGCAAAAATATTATTTATTATTTCATCTAATTATATATAATCTTCTTTTTTAATTCCAGATACTCGACGACGAAGATTTCCTGAAGCCTCAGACATTGAAATTAGAAAATCGGTGGCCTTCTTTTTGGCAACAAAAAAAGATCGAATTTGAAGTAACGTATTTACATTATATAATTGTATTTAATAGGTAGTTTATAGTAATTGTACACTTATTCTTTTTTAAATTCTATTTTTTATATATTATTATTAGTTTTAGTTTTTTAATAAATATATTACAAATTCAAATATGGTTTTGTACTTTTTGAATCAGTTCTGTACTTGATTTAAAAACCATATTGGTACCTAGTTAGAAAACTATATTCAAACCTGATTTAAAAACCTAATTGAAAAACCATATTGAAATTTGACTTAAAAACCAAATAAAAACTATATCGGTACCTGGTTAGACAACCATATTAAAACATGATTTAAAAACCATATTGGTATCTGGTTGGAAAACTATATTAAATCCTGTTTTAAAAACCATATTAAAACCTAATTTAAAAACAATATCAAAATTTTATTTAAAACCCTTATTGGTACTTGGTTGGAAAATCATATCCAAACAGGATTTAAAAAACATGTTGGTACCTGGTTAGAAAAATTATATTAAAATTTGATTTAAAAACCATATTAAAACTTGATTATCAAATCATAATGATACCTGGTTGGAAAACCATATTTAAACCTGATTTAAGAACCATTTTGGTACCTAGTTAGAAAACCATATTGGAAACTCTATTGGAACCTGATTGGAAAACATATGACAACCATAAATAAAATTGTTACATTCCAATCTCAGGACCACATTGGTAATACTTATGGCTCCTATATAAGTGTGCTCCTAGGGATAAAGTTTTAAAAGGGTTCAAATTTGTTTCAGTGATGAGAAGGCGCTAGTAAATTCAAAAATACAGGGTGATCGATACCTATACCCGATTTTTAGTAACAAATTCTTTAGCTTAAGCAACCTTACAACACAGTTACTTCAAGTGCTATATCTTTACTGGAGATTGAATGACAGTGATATAAAGACTCTTTCTATACAACAAACCCTTTAATTTGTCATTTACATTTTATTAAATATCTAATCAATTCTAAATATAGTTTGACCATTCGAACTACACATGAAAGTGCCTTACCACTTAAGTTTGACTTCAGTCATTGCATTTTTGGTTTTTAACGTTCTAGATGATGATTTTCGTGTAAATTAAATTATACATTTATCAGGGGCCGATTAAATTTGGCGACACCCTGTAAGGTTGCCCACAATTCAACTCTCAAGTACACTAATTAAATTCAATAATACCATAATAAATACCCTGTTAGTTTTTCTTTTTGTTTCGGCGATTGTGTAGAGCCTTATTAGCATTTAGGCAAAACGCATCCAAGTCGGCAGTATGACAGGTCAGCAAGAAGAGGAGAAGAACACGAATAGTCTGTGGGCTAAGGATTTTAATAATAATAATATCCTTCATAATGGGTAAACCATTAGAAATTAACAAATACGATCTCTAGCCAACAGGTGTGTGAAACCATAACTTCAGGACCAGAGATACCAGTTCAAAAATCACTACCAGACCAGTGAGGTAGGTGAAAAACTTGTAAGAAAGCAACAGTTATCAAGTGATTAATTTCCAGATTTTTTTGATATTAAATTATTAAAGATTTTTTATTTCATCATGATTTACTGGTTCCAAAAATAAGGAGTGGATACATCATGGAACTTGATATAATTACGATCCTTTTTATTTATTATTAATGAAGGAATTAATGTCCCAAACAGAAATTGGGGCCTGTGCTATCTCTTATAGGATGATACCGTATTTTACAATACATAGATCGTATAGCTTATCTTCCATTTTGACATACTGTTAGCTAGGTAAGATTTTAATATATTTAAAGTTAAATATTTAGCAAATTTTAATATTAAACCTGTTTAAATCTATATATTTGAATTGGTTTATTGATTGTTACGAACGCTCGCTGACTATAAAAAAAGACAAAAAGGAGGAAAGGAGCAAAGCAAAAGAGGCAATTATTTTGCCGAGGGATGTATGTGTGTATGTCTCAGACGACATTTCGGGAGTAAGTGAAGAGTTTGGCCATTGTATTCTAGTTTCACGTTCAGAGTCCGTCCGGTGGACTCGATTCAATAGGTTTTAATTTTCGGTAGACCGATGTGTGGATTCCAGTGCTTCCGAAAATGTTTTACTACCCAAATTTTTTCACTACCATGAGATTATTTATTTCAGTTAAATAAACAATTCGACATTTTAAATATACCACCCAAGTAACATTTTTAGGAGAAACAAGTTTTATTTATGTTTAATTAGGATGTTGTAAAAGCATAAAAATTAATAATAATCATTTTATTAGTTATTTTTTTTGCTAATAGGACTGCAGGATAAATTGTTGTATAGATTCCTTTAAATCTGTTTAAGAAAACTAGTTCATCCTTAAGGACAGCGTCTCCTAGGAATTTCTGAACAAAATTATGTCAATTTAGATTCAATCAAGGAGGTGCTGTTACCTACCGACTAGAGATTGAATTAGTGCAAACTATTACAGAAATCTTTAAGTAACTATAAATATCGACCGACTAGCTATTAGGGGATATTGTATTATATTGTATTATAAACCGGTTTTTAGTAGACTGAGTTCGAAGGATCATAATAATAGTCCTGAACATAAAATCTATTTTTCAATAATTGCCGGGATTTTACCAAATAAAAAAAAATATTTCGCGATTGTGAAAACGGTCCAATCGTTTCATATGCCATTTATATTATTATAAAAATGTTAACTCTAGGACTCATTTTGGAGTATGAGCATATTTTATTTCAATACTTTTATTCATAAAGTATTACCTACCTATTACATTTTATTTTTAACGAAAATCGACTTTGTTTCCTGGACCAAAGTAAAGAATGTAGGTAGGTATTATGCAGATGGCAACAACAAAAACGATATCTTGCCTCACATTAAATATAAATATTTACTAAAAAAAATAATTTGGTTTATATACGGGTAGCAATACGAGGGATGTTTATAATTTCAAGTCACGAATATAGAGTCGTTTCAAAATATATTGCCACAATAATTGCGTCACATTGAGTCGGAGTGGGACGCTTGACGTGTCGCAATTCGCAATATATTTTAAAACTATTCTACCTCATTAATATTTGTGATTTTGAAGTATCGAATGAAAACTATATTCTCATTGGTTAAAGATGGAAGTTTTTGTCATTTGAATGTTCAGGAATATTAATTGTGATTAATTGGTTAAATACCGAAGTTATCTGTTATCTGATGTTGGTACTAACCTAATGTTTTTGGGTAATTTTGACGGTCATTTCCTGGAATTTCCAGGCCCGCATAAATATTTATCCTATTAAAGTACAAAAACCCTACAATAGATATTATGAGTAGGTATTTAACATTCATTTATCTTATCTTATCTTAGGTAGTTATTTCCTAGAAACATTTCCCTGATTGTCAATAACACATTACCGTATATCTGTGCCAATATGACGTCACGACTTTTAATATACTTAATGAAGGCTGGGGGAAGGAGTTAAGAGTATAAATTTACAAACAAGCTTACGGGTATTTAGTTTTCAAAATTACATCACACGTTTCTGAAGTGTTTTATTGTGCTGTTTGTTTTTAATAAGTGTTATTTTCTTTAATAGAAAATTGATTTATTTGTGCCAAGTGTCCTA